AGGACACATAACAACAGACTCCACAAATATCCAGATGAAATCAAAAATAACTATGAACATTTATATAAGTAAGTTCAACAATCTAGAAGATAGACAATACAATCATTCAAAGCTAGATAAGGAAGAAATAGAAAACCTAAACAAACCAATAATAAGCCAAAATATTGCAGCACTAATCAAAACCCTCCCCCAAACAAAAGTTCAGAACCAGATGGCTTCACAAATGTGTTCTACCAAATGTTCAAAGATGAACTGGTCCCTATCCTGCAAAACTCTCAAAAAATGGAGAAAGAAGGAATACTATCAAATACATTTCATGAGCCAACATTACACTAATATCAAAACCAAACAAAAATCACACAAACAATTAATACAAGCTACTCTCCCTAAAGAACACAGATGCAAAAATCCTCAAAAAATCTTAGCAAACTGAATCCAACAATGTATCCACAGAACAGTATACCATGACCAAATGGTATTTTTGGCCAATTAATGTTTTTTCTCCCTTTTCATACTGCCCCAAACTTTAGCTCCATTTCTAGCTTGTGGGGCTGAAAAAAACAAGCTATAGATGAGTAACTTGAGGAATTGAGGCACAGTGCCCATCTCCATGGTCATGGTGAGCTTACTCATGGAAGCCTGCAGCTGAGGGTGACCTGTCCCTGGTCCCACCTGAAAGACTTTGGGAGATGGAAGTGAACATGACTGGTCACCAAATGATACCTCCATGTCAGGTATTCAAGAACCACATGTTATGAGTTCAGGAGAATGCTGTTTTTCCTTTTCTTTTATTCATTAAGTATTAATTAGAAATTGAGAATAGTTATTCTCAATTGAGTTAAGTTTGGGAAGAAATTAAACCAAGTTCTTTTGTTTCTTTAAGTATTGTTGTCTCTTGCTATTGTCTAATGTACGTAAATGCAGCTAATACTCTAGCACAAAAAAGTAATTTTCTAGTTTCAGAAAGAAACTTAAATGTTTTCAGGAGCTTGTAAACACTTCTATGCATGTAAAAGAAACACAAATATAAGTAGTATTTAATGTTTGATATTTTATAAAATTCTTGGAAAATATTTTGTTGGCATTGTATTTATAATACCAAGATTAGTGGAAAGAAGCAAAACTCCCATTCAGAGTTAAATCTTTTCCAATGGCAGAATCATATATATATATGTATATATATATATATATATATACATATATATACACATGTGTATATATATATATGATATATATATATATACATATATATACATATATATATACACATTTAGAGGCTCATCCATTTCAATACTTTAGCAGTTAAGAAAATTAAACCCTCAGAATTACATGAAAATAGTCTCACTAGCATTTATATATCATAATACTCTTTACTGTTGCGTAAACATATTTTTATCAGCACTTACAAGAAAACCCAGCTTTAATAAACTAAGTAACAAAGGTAAACTAGGGGATTCAAGAGGGTAATTAGTCCAAACAACCGGTATACTTACGGTTGCATTTCTTTTGAACAAACCTAAGTTTGCATGCTGTTCTGTAGGTGGAGAGTCGGATGCGATCCAGATCTTGAGCCCCTGGGGGAGACAAAGAAGACATATGGTATAACATGTGTGCATAAAGAATTTGTAATGTTTATAAATAAAATGACTTAGGCAGGCACTTAACTTGATTTTTATTTATTTATTTTTTTTATTTTTTTAAAGATTTA